TTAAAAAAAGAAAATTATTTTTTCCTCACCTCAAATAATGAAAATCTATTTACTAGCTTAACTCAATCTCAAAAGTTGGGTTCTGGAAATTTAATATTTTAAGAAACTCAGAAATTCTTATTCTTTAAGGTGATAAATTACTTCTGAAAAAAAAAAACCCCACACCTTTCCATACTGCTTTATATTTCCTCATCAGAAAACACGCTGTTCCATTACCAAGTGATATTTATCTGTCAAATAAATGAAAGTGAAAGCAAATATTTCTAGTAACTTTCACCAACTTGTCCATACCAGTCAGCCCTTGTAATAAAAGGAACTCCACATTTTCCAAGGCATACACATCATTTTGTGGGTTGTTTCAAGAATCTTTCTTCCATGAAGAACAGTCCTTCAGCTCACAGATATAGCAGTACATATAAAACATCACAAGAAAAAGCTGATTCACTAACATTCCTAGATGTAGCGCCTAAAAGCAAGGAGTTTGCAATGCAAAGCATCCAACTACCTATAGACAAGCACTACAGGTGACTAAAGTTTTTTCTTTTGTGTATTTCTCATCAAATTCTAATGTGGCTGAAGGTGAAAACATCCTTAATTTAAACATGAAGTTCACTGATAAACTGGTGCCTAAACTAGTAAGAGTCCCCAGTAGAGACAGAGAAATTATCTTTCCCACGACATCCCCTGAACAGTCAGAGAAGGCTGGATTAGTGTTAGAACTGTGCTTGCTGATAAATTCTACATTAAAATCAACATTTTTGTACCATATAGGTACTACCAGACTTCATTTTTTGATGGATAGTTGAAAGCATAAAGAACCAAAATTAGGGGCAACATGACATACTGACTTAAAAAAAAGAGGTAGTTTTAAGTCTATTTCAGTTTAAAAGAAAAAAGTTCGGCTACCTTTTAGCATTCACAGGCTTATCAGATGTAAGTTTTGTACACAGCCTTCAAGTAAGTACTAAAATTAAGACTAGTGAATGGTAAAAATGTTCAGAAGAAACAAAGTCCCTGATTTAAAGCCTTCATGCTTTCCTATTGCAAAAACAGGTTTGTAACTTGAAAGTGATCAAAACAGAAATCCCCTTCCTGAGACTACATCCAAGTTATAATGCTCTATGTGGTTTTAACTCAACCCACAGTGGCATTTCAGATGTTTGTGATGGAAACATCCCTCAGGCTAGCAACACGAGCTACTTTGCTTCAGACTGAATGCACCTTAACATAAAGTTCTAGTTTCAGACCAGCCAGGTCAGAATAATACTTAGTGCAATCAATCAGACATTAAAACATGGTACTCAGGAACAGCTTTGCCAAGTGAGTTAGTGTCAAATAAATAGAAAAGTAGTTGTCTAAGTATTTTAATCTACTCCAAGGACCTTTTATGGTCAAGCATATGGACCCAGGATAATTCAGGCACAGAAAAACAAACACTACTTGTGATAGGCCTTGAAAAAGCAACTGTCTGCTACTTTCTGAACAAGTTATTTCAGATGATTCACATAAGCAAAAGCCACCTTTTCAATGGGCAAGTATTAAGTCAGTTGCCTTTACAGGCTCAAATCTCTGCCAAGAGGAAAAAAAAAAATGACTTTCATAGGAAGTGCCTTAGCTAACAGGAACTCTATGTAAGAACCACATTCCTATGGGCTTACTCCCCACGCAATTAT